TTTTTTTTTTTTTTTTTTTTTTTTTTTTGGATTTCCTTCAGCAGCCGTTCAAAACTCAGGAAGGGAGTGTCTTCCAACTGGAGGGTGGGCCTGGTGGGCGATTTCTGTAATATTTGCTTCTGCGGGAACCTCAGGCACAGCCCCTCCCTTTGCTGGGTCCAGCCATTTCCAGTCATGACGTCGAGGTCCGCCTGTAGCTGCCCACCTCCTCCTACACTGTGGCTAACGCAGACTGCTGTCCTCCTTCCCAGAGGAAGGGCAACCTGTTATTTTGTAGCTGTGGCTATCTTATATCAATAGGAAGTCAGGGACGATATTCTCAGAAAAAAAACCCAAAAAACAAAACATGTATTCACCCTCAGTGGCTGTCGCTTTCTAAATGAGATAACCCAGCCCTGATGGCCACTACAATTAGCACAGAGCCCTTCTGAATGGGAACACTTCCCTATATCTGGAACGGATGCTATTCCAGCCCAGTGGGAAGCTAAGGATGTAATCCTGGCCTGTTCGCGTACATGTAGGATGTGTTTCTTGTGGCCCAAATATTTATTTCCAGGGTATTTGTAGAAATATGTCCAAATTATTTTAACAGGGCATTGCATCTTCCTTTGGCTTCTTTTGTGACAAGGATCCCACTATGTTTCCCAGGATGTCCTCAAACTTGGGATCCTCCTGCCTTAGGTTCCTGAATACCTGGGATGACAGGTGTGTGCCCCTGCACCCAGCCGTATTGCTTTGAAGCATGCACTTCAAAGGACAGAATTACTTGCATATCCATCTGGCACCATAAGATTTCTGTCCAATCCACATTTCAAGTTAAAAACTAGCTGCTTCCTATTGCTGTCAGGATAAATAGTCACACCTTCACCATGAGTCACAAACCTGTCTAGTTTCATTTCGTTCAATCTCTCCTCTTCAGGCCTCCTTATTCTATAATCAGTGACACCTCAGTTCACAAACTTAATTTTTTCCACATTTCTGGTCACAAACTCAACTGGATGAGAACCAAATCACATTTCCCCATAAGGTCAACACTGAACCTAACCACTGAATTTTATTTGGTTGTCATCCAATTTGGTTTGTGACCAGAATCATGGAAAATATTAAATGTAGACATCCAAAACAGCACATCCCCCCTGGCCTCTGGACCTTTGCACATGCTGTTTCCTTTGTGTGGAATAGTCACTTCCTCCTGGAAATGGCTCCTGACCCATCTGATCCTACCTCAAACCTCTCCTTTGCCCTAATTTAAGGAATCATAGATATGAACTCAAACTCACATCTTCTGGGAAGCTTGTCCTAAAATCCCCTAGATGTCACCTGGACTCGGACTGATAGTGTCTTGTGGTTTTGCTCGGGATCCTTTGTAGTTTGCAATTCTAGACTTTCTGCTTACAGTGTTTGATGTCTGTCTCTCCCATTCGTGTTTGGCTCCAAGAAGGAAGGGACACACTCTCCTTACTTACCGGGAGGTTGGCTGCCTGCATGATGCCAGCAGATGGGTGCTGCAGCGATGCTCATCCAGCAGACACGCACACCCTGACAGAACACCGCTGATGGCTCAGATGGGTTCGCTTGTTGGCTCAGCATCCTGGCACGCGATTCCTTTGAGGGCATTCGCCCCTTCGCTCCTGCGAATGCCAAACAGAGTGTCGCTGTGAGCTGCGGCTAGAAGCCGGTAGGCAGGTTTTCTCACCCTACTAGCGTCGAGACTCTGTTCTTTTGCTTTAGTCTCATTTTTAAAGTGGGGATAGAATCTTCACATTTCCTTTACCTTAAGACACCCTGGGCTTTAAGACGATAACCCTTAGTAATTCGCACCATACAAACAAACAGGAACAAAACCAAACAGACCTCACCATTACTCCTCCACTGAATACGCACAAACTGATTGTAAGATATCCAGTTCCCATGTTCATGTCAACAAGTTCTCACTCATTTTCAAAATTCAGACAGAGCAAGACCATACCTACTGCAAAGGATCCCTGTAAATTTGAAAAGAGATGTGCGCTGATCACTCTGCTGGCGCCTGCCACTCTGTGGGTTGTATAGCTCCAGGAGCACTAAAGAGCCAGTGTCTTCTTCTGTCAGTCCCATGTTCCCTCTGCCCCCGCCGCCTGTATTGAGTAAGATAAGGTGAACAGGGGTAGATGTTTGCAGTGGAGATTAGCTGAGGACTCCAGCCCCAGGCCCAGAGCTGCTCTGGTCCGTGCCCCCTGCTGGGCAGACAGGGGTGGGGGAAGGAGCCAAGGGTGGGCCTGGCCTTCCTCAGACCACGTCTGGCTCCACCGCTAAACAATCAAGGGAAGAAAGCCCCCCACTCGGTGGGCCTGCATTTGCAGCTCCTCTGTTGTGGTCAGGATGTTATTGTCGTCCTTTCTGTGTCTGCACTCAATCACATGGGAGTGTGTTTATTCTCAGAGACCATTGCTGGGCGTTCCCAGATTCACGGCCACCACCTGCCCAGGCCTTCATTACTTCTTCCCCTTTGCAGCTGCCTCTCAACTAGCTCAGCCGCCCACCGGATTTGCTTCCCTGTGGTCATCCCGCTGTCTTTCAGTTCCAGGAACTCGCTACCCTTGAGCCTAGAGCTGTCCCTAGAGGCCTGGGGCCAAGCTGGGTGGGCTCCTCTGGACCTCTGGGGGAACCAACTGCGCTGAAGGCCAACCGCCCCAGAAAGTACCATTAGCATGCAGAGAGTCAAGTCAGTTCTCCAGCCTGTCTGGGGCGTGAAGCTTCTGGAAATCCGGTCCGGTTCCTACTTCCTATCCTTCCTTCTTCTTCTTCTTTTTTCCCCCAGTACTGGGGATCGAACTCAGGTCCTTGCACTTGTGAGGCAGGCAGTGGAACCACTGAGCTAAATCTCCAGCCCTTTTTTTTGGGGGGGGGTACTGGGAATCAAGCTCAGGCCCTTGCTCTTGCCAGGCAGGTGGAGGAACCACCGAGCCTTCCTTCTACTCTGCCTGGACTTGCTCCTAACTCCTTTCTCAGCCTCAGGTTCAGTCGTACTGCAGTTTCCTCTGACTTCTGGAATCAGCTTCCTCACCCTGGCCACCCTCAGGACAAGGTCTAGGTGGACACCACAGGGCTTAGACTACAACTACCTCCCAAATTTGGGATGTAGACAAACTTGAAATGTTGGGGCTCCACCTTATTTTTCTTTATACTATAGTTTTCACATGTACTATACATATAATGAGTAAATTGCCTTTTAGTTCCTGACTCATCAAAAGGAACTTACAAAGTTTCAAGGTAGGCATTAAAAACTAGTAATGAGGTATCCACTATTTATCACATAAATCAGACATGGGAAAAAATAGGTGTGTAGTGAAGGCCTCTTCCTTTGGTAATTCATTGTGCTCATCTTCTTCCTTTGAACTAATTTAATGGAGCACAGGAGCAGAGGAGGGCTGCTGGGCTGCCAGGTGGCGCTATTCTAGCCATGTGTCTTTCCAGGCACGTACCTGCTCAGAACGTTGAGTTTAAATCCACACTGGTACTTACTAAGTGAAAGGTGGGCTGAGTATGGGTGTGGGCTCAGCAGTGGAAGTCAGGATCAGTTCTGGCTGGGTGATCTGGGTCTAGTTCCAGGCTGGGGCAGTGTCATGCCTCTTTCCCTTCTGACTACAGACCCTGGGGTAGCACAGTATGAGGGTCTGGAATCCCTATCCTTAAAAATCGG